ATCCATCACTCACCATCAGGATGACCCCAAAGAGGTAGACTGTAAGCGACTGACTGGCTTAGAAGGCTGTAGTCATTGAGTAAGCCCTTCAAGATCTACACAAGCTAGGCAAATGGATTCAAAAGTTTCAAGAATACTACTTAATTCAGATAATTACAAATGGTTTATGCTGTTCGTTGGTATTCTGGTTCACTTGGAACCTTTGTAATGATGATACTGTAGATGTTTTCATTTTAGGCACGCTACACTCATTGCTGTTGTGGACTTTAAAAAAAATAAATAAGGACAATTCAAGATAGCTTACTTTTTACTCCCCACCCCCCCAGGGAGAGGGGTTAATTATGAGTCATTTGGTCAAAGTCAGTGTTCTAAAATAATGAGCTTCAGCAGCAGCTGTTACAGAGTCCTATAGGTTATTATAACTTTTAAAAGAGCTATTATTATTTTGACTAAGCAGAAACCATCACATTTTTCTGTTTTTAATATTTTTCACTAAAACATGCATTCAGAAAGGGGCTTGAGTCTTAAGGGAATTGTCACAAAGCAGACACACACATGCAAATGCCACGCAGGTGAAGGAAGAGAACATTACAGCATCCCTGAAGCCCTTCCCGACGCTCTTCCAGATCCCTGAGCCCTCTTTGCCAGGCGTAAGCCCTATCATGACTTCTAACACCGGCACTTAGTTTTGCCTGGGTCCTGTGGGGGGGGGGGCGGGGGCGGTGCACGTGCATGTGAGATGTAGCCTTTTTGCCTGGTTTCTTCTGCTCGATATCATGTTTAGGCAACTCAGCCACATTGCTCAGAGAAGCTGTGGTTCCTTAGTTCATAGTGCTGTGTAGCATTCTGTTGTCTGAAGAGCCAATAGTCTGTTTACAAATTCAACACTGCTAGGTATTTGTTTTTTTCTCCCTGGAAGCTATGACCAGAAATGCTCCCATGAGCATTCTTTCTGTGTCCTCTGGCGTACACAGGCACACATCTCCGCTGGGCGCATACAAGGCATGAGATGCTGTCATCGAGCACGCGTGTGTTCAACCTGGGCAGATAATGCCAAACACGTTTTCTAAAATGGTCCAGTTGGTGCTCCCACTACCAGAGTATCAGGTCCCAGACACCACATCCTCCCCATACCTAGTACTAGCTTTTTAACTTTAGCCATTTTTAATTTTAGCCATTTTGGCGAGTGTGTATATAAAAATATATATATTTATATTTATAAATATATAAAATTATATATAAATTAATAAATATAAATAAATATATATTTATTTATATAAATATATATTATATATATATATTTTTTTGAAGATTTTTTATTTATTCATTTGACAGAGATCACAGGTAGGCAGAGAGAGAGAGAGAGGAGGAAGCAGACTCCCCGCAGAGCAGAGAGCCCGATGCAGGGCTGGATCCCAGGACCCTGAGACCATGACCTGAGCCGAAGGCAGAGGCTTTAATCCACCCACTGAGCCACCCAGGCCCGCTGTGTGTATGTATTTATATAGTTGTGTATATACAGTTGTGTGTGTATATAGCTATATTTCATGGTGGTTATTAGAGTACTGTATTTTAATGAACAACTAATTGTGTTTCCTTTTATAGCAGAACAGGGAGAGCCACGTACGATTTCATAAAAATCATTACAATGTTTTCGGTAATGAGTGCACATCAGCCTGTTTCCTCTTCAGCCCATCTCAGTGATCAGTCCATGTCCCAGCTAATACAAAAACAATGATATTGAGGTGTGACCCATCCATCTGACCCATCTAGCCAACAAAAGGATTCACCTGATAGCTTCTTGAAACAAAACAAGGTAGAGAAAGAGTCAATAACTGTAAGCAATAACAGAAAAACCACAAAATTTTTAAAAACCAAGTATAAGTGATAGAAGAACTGACCATTACAATTAGATTCATCTCATTCAAACAAGTTAAAGCCAAGAGAGGTTAAATGAGAGCCCAGATCCACTGCAACGGAGCCAGAAGTAGAATTCAGGTCCATATACCCTTAGCCTTTTATAGGATACCCGGAATTTTAGTCCACGGACTGACTTTCTGAAATCTGAAATTCTTTAAATTTAATTTCCCAAAGTTCAGATTAATTTTGTAAGTGCACTAAGTTAACCATGAAAAAGACCACTCTATCTTGTTGGGTGGTGTTGCTTTGTTGTTGTTGTTGTTTTTAAGATTTTTGTTTATTTATTTGATAGAGAGTTTATGGTGGCAAGGGGGAGGGACAGGAGGGAGAAGCCAACACCCCAATCCCAGGTCTCTGAGATCATGACCTGAGCCCAAGGCAGACACCTGACTGATTGGGCCACCCGGGTGCTGCCCACTATGTCTTGTTAAAGAAGAAAGTTCAGCTGAGCAAATTGAAAGATCTAATTGGCTTTATTTCAGAATGAGGAGTCAGCAGCATCCCATCTAACAAACAAGAGGCTGTTCCAAGGAGTTGTATAAAATGGAAGCCTTAGATAGGCAGACGGGTGTGGGATGGAGAAGTTAACTAGCAGGAGAAAAGAAAGGATGGTTTCAGGCAAGGTCACCTTCCCTTGGTGGGGGTGGGCAGGAAACGAATGGTAGGGAGATTTAGGCAGATCAGTAGGGCTGATCTGGAAATTCCAACCCATGAGTTTAAAATCCAGAGAAACCTAAACTGCAGTTAGGTTAGACACAAAGTCTTGGCCACTCCTTTAGGGGCCTGGTGTTTCTTTTTAACTGTTCCCCTCTCTTGCTTCAACTCTTAGCCTGAGAGATGTGATCGAAACTCAAGGCATTAACGCCACTCTCAGCTACCGCTCTAGTTCTCGAAGCTTTCATTCGTCCTGGGCTTTTCTCTCTGTGGCACTCCCGGGTCATGACGTCAGGCTCACAATGTTGTAGTTGGTCATTCTCTTTGTTCCTTTGTTGTCATTCCAGCCTTAGGGAAATAGTTTGTTTGGTGGCTGCAGACCTGCATTTAAAGCTCTCAGGAGAATACAGCACACCAGAGAGATCACTGTACCTATAAGCAGGATAATTCCCAACACTCGGAGTACACTTTGGGGCCACGGTCCCCAAGACTGAACCCATCAACGAATGACCCCATCGAAGAAATCACGCTATTAAGCCAAGGGGCTTACTCGGAAATCTTACATTAACTGAGTTGCAGCTTCCCCAGAAGTGTTAATCCAGGTACAACAGGTTCTGGGCACCACAGCTCAGACACCTCCCTACTCCCAACAGCTTCAGCCAGACCGTCCAAGGATCTTTGCTGGGCAGCTGGTGTCTTAGCAGCAGAATCTGCAGTGTCTCCAAGAGTGAAGGAGAGGTTTCTAGTCATATGATCACTTCTATTTACTCCTAAACCCAGGGTCAGTGTTTTAGCAAATATAGGAAGAAATAAAGAAATAAAGACTATTTATAAATATTTGTATTTATTATATATAATATAGTATATATTATATATATTTATTTATAAAGAAATAAACCTGAAATAAAAAGTCATCTTGAGTGCCTTACAAAGATGGGTGCTACTGGTGAGCTCTCTCAGGGAGCGGGAGAGGACCTGGTCTAGATAATCATGGGAACAGAAAAGTCAGAATATGCTAAGATTCACAAGGGGAAATGTGTCTAACTGGATGCATACTTCTAAGTGGGGGACAGGGGAGGGGGGATTGGGGATTGACATTGAGATTTGAAGAGAAATTGGTCCCAGGGAGGACTTCTTGCATGGTGACAAATCTAGAGATCCGAGAGTTACCCCACCCCCACCCCCACCCCCTGCCCCTTAGCAATGGCCTGAGGGATACAATGAGAAATATTATCTCTCCAGGCCAATGCCAGAGTAAAGAAAAGAGAGAGGAGAAAGGGTTTTCATGTTTAGTTCAAGTATGAGTTCTTGATCTGGTGTCTTGGGTGAAGGTAGTCTACTTCAATGTCGGCCACTTCCCTTCCTTGTCTATTCAATTTGTAGGTCTGCATCATCTGCCCGGGGCCAGATGTCAGGCAGAGTGTTCTTTATCAGTGAGACATGTCCTCAAGGCTCAAGGTGTTCTAGTTTTGCAGTAGAGTGTGGTCAGGAGCACTTGAGACGATCCCTTCCAATGAGGCACAACGAGGCTGTCCTCTGATGGCTCTAGACTGTGACCAACAGGATGCCTTGAAATGGGATCCAGAAAATCTTCTTTAATCTGTTGATGATACGCTTAAGCAGGAGACATAAGCATAAGCTTACTGTAGGTGGTCATTCATGTGTGAAAGTTGTATATCTTCCGCAGAAGGTTATGTACCAATAGACATCGATCTGCCAGTGACTATCGTGTGTAGAGGAGCTTTCCCAAAGGGAGTGTTGTTACTAGTCAGCAAGACCAAAGACAAAACTGTGGCCATGGAAATCCAGTGGTTTCTGCAAGTGTTGACATTCTAAATCTAAGGCTCTGCTTAGTTCTCTCAACTTTGCCTGATATTGAAGGGTGATAGGACAGTGGTAATCCCAAGAGGTTTGCAAGGTGTTGGTGAAGGCTCAGATGACTGGTTCAGTGAAGTGGGTGCCTTGATCCCTGGAGATTATAGAAGGTAAACCCCAAGTGGGAAACATACTTTCCAACAGTTTCTTGGCCACTATGAGGACATCAGCCTTGTGGCAGGGGAGGGCTTCGGCACACGTGGAAAACACACATATGGTCACAAGGACACATTGATCACCCATACCAACCAAGTGGCAGTTGAATGAAGTCCAGGTGCGGGCGTTCTGAGGGTCCAGAGGGAGATCTGAGGCTTCTCGGGACAAAAAGGGTTTGCCAGGATTGTGGCCATGGCCAGTCAGACATGGCTGGTAGGCTATTTTTGCAATTTTACAGAAGTGTCCCTACCAACATCTATTTATAATTTGGGTCATCGTAAATGTCCTAAGGTGGGGAAGGGAATACAGAAGCCGAAAAACGGACTTAGGTTTAGGCCCAGCTGTTTGTTTCATTTATAGCCATTGTTCACCCATCTTCATTTCTCTGATTCCAGCGCAGAGTGTTGCCATGTTACCAGGACATCAGGATAGCAAACATCTGGCAACGAAGAGCCATTTTTTGCAGAAGCAGAATGGACTTCGTCCACATGTGCCACAATCTCATGCCTCTGCCTTTGCAGCAGAGGCAGCCGGGACATCCCCTGGTACTCCGTGCATTCAGGTCAGCCTTAATTTTGATGACAGCAATTCCAGAAGTTAAGAGAATAGCAAAATGGCAGTAAGAAGATCATTTGCTTTCTGCCCACTTTTGATTGGGGTCCCAGAAGATGCAAGAAAACCCCACTGGTCTCCGTAACATTCTAAAATCACAGATGACTCCAGGCGGGGCGTGGGCAGCTCAACTGGTTAAGCGTCTGCCTTCGGCTCAGGTCATGATCCCAGGGTCCTGGGATCCAGCCCTGCACTGGGCTCCCGTGTCAGTGGGGGGTCTGCTTCTTGCTCTTCCTCTTTCTCTCTGCCCCTCTGCCCCTGCTCATGTTCTCTTTCTGTCTCAAATAAATAAAATCTTAAAAAAAAAAATTCAACTTCAAAAAAATAAAAATAAGATAAAATCAAAGATGATTCCAAAGGTATCCCAGCTATCCATATTGATATTAACAGTATCTATTTCTGGGACCCCTGGGTGGCTTAGTCAGTTAAGCAGCTGCCTTCGGTTCAGGTCATGATCCCAGGGTTCTAGGATCAAGTCCCACATCAGGCTCCATGCTCAGTAGGGAGACTGCTTCTCCCTCTGCCTGCCTCTCCCCCTGCTCGTATTCTTGTGCACTCTCTCTCTTGCTCTCTCTTTCTCTCTCTCTCTAGCAAATAAATAAATAAATAAAATCTTGAGAAAAACAAAAACAACATGTGTTTCTGGCAACTGGCATGCTCAGGTTAATCATGGAGCTCTAAAAAAAAAAAAAAAAAAAAATCATGGAGCTCTGCTGGTTGGGTGGACTGGGCTTGTGAGAGGTTTCCCTTTCCCAGCAGATCATACTCAGTAATAACAGCACAACCAGCCTGAAAATTTCCTTTTTCACCTCTGCTGTATGACCTGTTAACAAACCAGAGTAGATTCTGAATCGTTAAAGGGCTATATCCTAAGTCAGGACAAAGCGTCAGGACATGGCACCCCGCACCCCAGCTGGGAGGCTCACCTTCCTCAGGCAGAGGTCGCAAGACAGCCAGATCAAGGGTGTTGCCACATTGAAGATGCAGATTACATGGTGAAAGCGGAGGGATCTCAGGAAGGTCGTCTACTTGCAGAGAAACGTGGAGTCAGTTCAGAGTAAAGACAACTTGGGACAAAGTGTGAAGTTTCCAGATAAATGCCATTTCCTAGGGTCAGATCTGCGGTTGCCTGGGCTCACCCCGCAGCTGCAGCTCTGGCTTGAAGGCAGCGGGGCTGGGCACCCGGCCACTGACTCATACCGCATGCGGTCATGGGCACGTCTATTACCGTGTTCCTGCAAGAGCATCCACAAATCCACAATGCCATCCTTCACTTGTAGGTCTCGGAAATTCCTGAGTTAGCTTGGTTCTTTTTGGAGACAGCTGAACTGCTTCCGAACTTTGCTCGTGACTTAGGTACTGAACGATGTCTAGAGATCATTGTAGTTTTGCCTTCGAGACTTGGTGCCCCTTTTCAGCTAACTGCTATAGCAAATAGAGGACCCCTCTTTTGTGACTAAGCACGGCCAGAGGTCATCTACATATTACAAAAAGGTTTCCCAGGGAACTGGAAGGTACTTAAGTCTCAGTGATGTTACTTGAGAGAAATAAGAGGGGGCCTTGGTTACCCATTGAGGACTAACTATCTAGATAGAGTGTCGATCATTTCCGTTGAAGGCTAATAGATACTAGCTGATGATGTCTCCGCTGAACAGAGGAGCACAGCAGTGCCCTGGGCGTCAGGTGGAACTCGAGGCATAAGGGTGTTTGGGCTGGGAAGGACTGGGAAACCGGAATAACCATCTTATTCAGAGTTCTCAAATCTGGAGCAAATTGCCCTCCCTACCCATTAGGCTTCAGGATTGACAAAATCGACAGGAACTAGCACTAGAAATGTCTTCTAGTGTGTATGAGTGTGAGGCTTTGCATGGGCTCAGGCTTGAAAGGACATCGACGTAATGTGGGGAGAGGTTTACCTCTAACTGTCTGAATTTTTATGGGTTCTGTACCTCTTATTCTTCCAATGAAAATATTAGAAGCCCACAGATTTTGGGGCTCCTCCATTCAATTCAGGGACTTTTGCTGGAATTCTTCCTCTTCTGTGTCAAGGACAGACTCCAAGGAACATAAAAGATCAGGTTCAGAGTGGTCAGGAAATTCTAAGGTGAAGTCTCCATTGAAGGCAAAATGTATTAGCCCTTTTAATCCAGAAAGGAGATCCCTACCTAATATATTGTCTAGAACGGACTGACACACCAAAAAAGGATGTAAAAGGCCCGAGTCGTTTGTACTGGTAGAGATAAAAATTCTGTCTGAACTTCATCGGACACCCCTCACCCCCCAACAATGGAAACCTCCTTTTTACCTTGAGGGATTTGTCATCTTAAGCGTGGGGTTCAGGGTAGAAAGTGTAACTCCGGTATCTATTAAAATTTGCCAAGGTTTCCCATTAATTTTAACTTCAGTTTTCCCCTTGGCTATTTAAGAGAGCTTCTGGTAATGGTTTAGCAGAGAAGCCCTCAGAGTCCCTTGAACTGTGTGAGGGGCTCTCCTTTGCAGGTAAATATGATGGCATTTAAGAAGAATTTGCCTGGGTGCCTGGGTGCCTGAGTCGGTCGAGTGTCTGCCTTCAGCTCAGGTCATGATCTTGGGGTCCTGGGATCAAGTCCTGCGTCAGGCTCTCTGCTCAATGGGGAGTCTGCTTTTCTCTCTCTGTTCTGCTTCTCTCAAATAAATGAACAAAATCTTTTTAAAAAAATTTAAAAAAGAGGGGCGCCAGGGTGGCTCAGTGGGTTAAGCCGCTGCCTTTGGCTCAGGTCATGATCTCAAGGTCCTGGGATCGAGCCCCACATTGGGCTCTCTGCTCAGGCAGGGAGCCTGCTTCCCTTCCTCTCTCTCTGCCTGCCTCTCTGCCTACTTGTGATCTCTGTCTGTCAAACAAATAAATAAAATCTTTAAAAAAATTTAAAAAAGAAAAGAAAAGAATTTGCCTAGGACCTTTGAGGACAATCTCTTTTCCAGTGCCCCAATCGATGACAGCTGTGACCTTGATCTTTGGACCAGTGTTTTGATAATGACCCCTAGGAAGGTGCAGGGCTGGAGGCCCAGCTATTGCTTTGGGTGTCTGCCCTTGGAGCTATAAAGCTAATAGCTTGGCAGACTTTTGTTTGCAATCTTGCTCCAGGGTCCTCTCAAAATGCTCTGCTGTGGTCACGAGTTCAGTCAGACTAGAGGCCTCCCATCCTGTTTTCTGCCTTTTTATTGAACCATTAATCTCGGGAGATAATCCATGTATAAAGAGGGCAGCCAGAGCAGGCTGGGGGGCCTTATTTATTGCTTTGAACCCCAAATGCCATAGAAAATGGTCTACACGCAGGCTTTAAAGTCTGCCAGAGAGTTATCTTTTTTGGTGGTGTTGTTTGCAAGTTTACAAAACAGATCAAACAGGATGGGCAGGGAAGAGTCTACGAGCGGCTTGTAAAAGTGTGGCTGCTATTTTGTGAGCTTTTTCTGGTCCCTGAGCTGCTGAAGGCCAAGGATTTGAACATCATCCTAGGGTTTTGCCGTCTTGTTCCCTCAGATCGCACCAACATCTGTGCAAGCTGATAGAGAACAGGTAGCCCAGGGTCACAGTCCCTGATGATGACTCTAAATTCTTCTAACAATTTGGGGTTCTTCCCTAGGTATAGGGCAGTCTTTAACTCTGGCCCTTGGTTCCGTCTTTGGCCAAGGTGTGCAGGGTACCTGAGAGTTTCACCTGTGGCCTCAAAGTTTTCTTTTAAAAGGAAGCTGTCTCATGGTCTCTTCAGAATGGAAGGGCAGTTCAGACAGACCATTAGTAAAATGTGGGTACTCTAAAAAAGGACAGAATGGGGGGGAGAGTGGTAAAGGTCACATCAGTCTCATTATTTTTTTGTTTAAGGTACTTCTTGTGGCTTTAAGGTTTTTTTAAAAAAAGATTTTATTTATTTATTTGACAGAGAGAAAGAGAGAACAAAGCAGGGGGAGTAGCAGGCAGAGAGAGGGAGAAGCAGACTCCCCACTGAGCATGGAGCCCGATGCGGGACTCAGTCCCAGGACGCTGGGATCATGACACCAGTTGAAGGCAGACGCTTAACCGACTGAGCCACCCAGGCACCCCCGGACTATACTTCTTAAACATAAAATTAGCAGGTGTGCTGGAAGGTGGTGCGCTCAACGCTTCGGATATAAAGGATCCCATTTCTTAATTTAGCTAGGTCTTTGGATTTCCTGGAGCCCAGCTAATACCAAAGGGGGCCTATCATGGGAATCTTCTTGGGCTGGCACATGTTCTCACCTCCTTTAAATGCTATCTGTGCCCACCAGCTTTTTTGACTTCTGAGATTCCTATTAGCAACTAGCCCTCATGTAATATTCCCCTGAGGCCTTCCACTGGACCCCGTCTAGCCCAAATTGGACCCAGTGTGGCCCTGGACCCAGTCCAACTTTGGTCAGTAATAACCACCCACACCGTGTGGAAACTGGGGACTGAGGAAAGATTGGAACCAGCAGACCTCAAAGAAGTGCAGACTGTTTCCAGACAGCTGCCACCAGCAGGTCTCGGTGTGGGATCTGGGGGTGGAACCAAGGGCTAGGGTTTCGGATAGAACAGGGAACTGTGGAATGTCAGACCAGAAGCTCAAAGCAAAGAGAAAGGCACTCAGAACTGAGAACTTACCAATAGCCTTTGGGAATAGGATGAGAACACGAAGGGTTCACGTTCTCTTCACATGAAGGGAACTTCACGCCAGAAGTTCTCTTCAATTCACCACTGCCACCAAATATGTTAAAGAACAAAATTCAGGGGCACCTGGGTGGCTCAGTGGATTAAGCCTCTGCCTTCAGCTCAGGTCATGATTGCAGGGTCCTGGGATCAAGCCCCACATCGGGCTCTCTGCTCAGTAGGGAGCCTGCTTCCCCCCCTCTCTGCCTACCTCTCTGCCTACTTGTGATCTCTCTCTGTCAAATAAATAGATAAAAATCTTTAAAAAAAAAAAAAGAACAAAATTCAATGGGGTAAATTAAAACATCCAATTGGATTTATTCAATGTTTCACAAACCGGGAAGCATCCCACAGAATGTTCCAAGGGACGGTGGAAAATGGAGTGCTTGGGTATTAAGCACAACTGGGGCAGGACAAGAGAGTTACTTAAAAAAAAAAAAAAAGGACAGTTTCAGGGAAGGTGACCTTCCCTTAGAGGGAAGAACAGGGGAGTCTTAAGCTGATTACCTCACTAGTGCTGATCAGGAAATTCCAGACCGAGTTTAAAATTCCACTCATAGGAGAGGCCAAAAATGCAGTAGGTATTAAGGTATTAAGTCTTTGTGGGGCTTAACATAAGGGACTCCATTTTGGACCCATTGTTTCTTTTGAACAGTCCAAAGGCTGTAATTATATCGCCATGCTTTCTCTCTCCGACTAATTAGAAGACAACTTGACACTGAAATCTAATCCCAGCAGAACATGTTATCTGGCTATCACTCTTGAGAAAGACAAAAGCAGTCTGTCTAAATTCCCACTACCTTCTCTTCCTGCACGTCAAGCCCTAGAGTTTTCATAAAGCAATCCGCATCAATACTCTCCTCTGTTTTCCTATGAGGATTCGAGAAGGGGGGCTAGCTCCATAATGGGATCCCTTCCTTGTAGGAAGATGTCACCACTGACCCATAATCAATAGAGCGTGAACTTTTGAGTTATGGCTCTGTGCTGATCTGAATGCATCCATCCAGAGCTTCTAGATGACAAATGGCACACAGCTGCAAACTTCTAGCCTCTGGCCAGTGACCAGAATAGAGCTAACTTATCCCTGTAAGGTTTATGATTTGAGTCTCCGCTAATGGCATCAGCAAACTGGCTTTAGGCTCTAGCTTGTACTCATCTTGATGTGATGATGATGTGGGAAATACCAGTTCTCGTCTATTTCATTGTGGTATTAATTTACAGTACAGTATCCCCCTAAATCAAAAGCCCCAAAATGGTGGCCCACAGACATTTTTAGTTTAACATCCATTCGAATTAATGCCAACATTTGAAATCTAGACAGTTCACGTGCGCATTCAGATTGTTGGCTTCTCTTTGAAATGCCAAAAGCTCTGGCCGTTCAGGGTCCACATTCCTGGCCGCAGCCAAGACGAGACTGAATGGAGTAACCTGCTTCCTTGAGCCCTGTGTCCCTCACTCACCAGTCTCCTATCCTGGCCTCGTTACTCCTTTAAGCTACCTTCCTGCCCTCCCACCCCCAGCACTAGAGTTTATGACCGCTGCCGTAATCAAATGGCCTCAAGCCCAGGTTTCTGCCTGGAGGCAACAATTCCAGACTTGGGCAACAGTTAGAAGAATCTGGTTCCCTGCAGGATTGCGCAACCGTGGCCCCTGCCACGCCCTTCCCGTTGGCAGGATACTGGCACAACACAGAACTTCGCTGAACACACTGGGAATTTCTTTCATCCAGAGAGATCCGGGATTTGTGTTATGCTCTAGGACCCTGATCCCCATCCTTTCTTCCAAAGTACGTGGGCAGAAAAATGCAGAGTGAGGGGCTTTGACGTTCTCTAATGTGCAAAAAAGATTCGACAAATAGGCAACTTTGTTTCTCCTTTCAAACATCTGTATTTCTTCCTCCCGTGTGTCCCTGCATTTGACAGTGCTATTTAAAACTCCATAAATAAAGGCCAATGAAATTACAAAAATGGATCATCATTTTTATGGAAAACCAACTAAACAAATGTTTGGCTTAAAATGTCAGGCATTAGGGGACTTTAATAAGATACTGAGAGTGAGTTCCCTAGAGGAGATGAGCGATTCAAAAATAGAACATAGGAGAACAGTGTTAACTGAGACTTAAAATACGAATGGCGTGCCATGTCCTGATGGAGGAAGGAACCATGTTACCTGAGCAGATGACACAGATCCCGAGGTAGGAGTCTCTGAGGCCCAGGCACAGCAGCTGCGTGGGATCTGAGGCTGTGGATATGAGCAGCACTGGTCATGGGAATCCACAGGAGAAATTAGTTCACTGCCATGTTGAACCACACCAGATGGGATTTAGGGCCATAACAGTTTCCCAGAATTCTAATAACAAGGACCTAGATTGTGGGGGCACCTGGGTGGCTCAGTGGGTTAAGCCTCTGCCTTCAGCTCAGGGCATGATCTCAGGGTCCTGGGATTGAGCCCTGCATTGGGCTCTCTGCTCAGAAGGGAGCCTGCTTCCCCCTCTCTCTCTGCCTGCTGCTCTGCCTACTTGTGATCTCTGTCAAATAAATAAATAAAATCTTCAAAAAAACCCCAAAAACCTAGATTGTCGCAACCATGGACTAGCACGGCAGGGAGGCCGACAGTGTATAGCATTATTCTTATCAGCTGGGCCATTCTTGAACTAGGTGTGTGTTTGTTTGTTTTTAAAGATTTTATTTATTTATTTGACAGAGAGAGAGAGCAGGGAGCGCAGCCCGCAGAAGAAGAGGGAGGGACAGAAGGAGACACCCCACTGAGCAGGGAGCCCCACATGGAGCTCTATCACAGGACCCTGAGATCATGACCTGAGCCGAAGTCAGATGCTTAACTGACTGAGACACCCAGGCACCCCAAGGGAAAGTTGTTTTTTACAGAAGTCTAGCTAATAAACGTAGAAGAAATTATTTCTGAACAATTTCTAATTACTATTTTATAGCTACTAATGGGATAAAGAATATAAGGAATGAACAGAAGTGGAAGCTGAAGACATTCAGAAAAGGATGATGGCCAACTTTGTAAGAAGAATCCCAGGGACACCACCCAGACCCACCAAGGAAGCCTAGAAGAACGGCACAACTGTGCCACTAGGTGCCTCATGATGTGATACACTAGGAAGTAGGAAGTTTTCTTGCCCCTAACATTCAACTCAGATCTCATCAAGCCCGTTTACAGAAAATAAAGAACCAAGTTAAATGACACCAAAGGGAAGCAAGAAGGCAAATCCAGAATGTAGGTCGTTTTCCAGGACAAATGACCCAGTTTCTAGAACAAAGCAGTGGTCAGGTGAGGAAGAGGATTGTTCTAGAATAGAAGAGATTTAAAGACATAACCAAATAGATCCTGTTTGGATACTGAATGGAAGAAGCTAACCGTAGGGCTCCTGGGTGACTCAGTTGGTTAAGCGACTGACTCTTGATTTTGGCTTAAGTCAAAGGTAGCTTGAAATTTTCCACAATAAAAAGTTTTTTTAAAAATACCTTTTGAGGGACACCTGGGTGGCTCAGTTGGTTGGACGACTGCCTTCGGCTCAGGTCATGATCCCGGGGTCCCGGGATCGAGTCCCACATCGGGCTCCCGGCTCCATGGAGAGTCTGCTTCTCCCTCTGACCTTCTCCTCGCTCATGCTCTCTCTCACTGTCTCTCTCTCAAATAAATAAGTGAAATCTTAAAAAAAAAAAATACCTTTTGGGGCAACTGGGTGGTTCGGCTGGTTAGGCCACTGCCTTCATGATTCTGGAGTTCCAGGATCCAGTCCCGCCCGCATCAGGATCCCTGCTTGGCAGGGAGTCTACTTCTCCCTCTGACCCTCCCTGTTCTCATGCTCTCTCTCTCTCTCAGATAAATAAATAAAAATCTTATAAATAAATAAATAAATAATTAATTAATTAAAAAATACCTTTTACTGTAGGCATTCACTCTTTAGGCTAAGAAGTCAAGATGCTGAGGTTATTATTACTTGGGAATTAACATTCTTTTAGAGTGATAACTCCTCTATAAACACCCCGGGAAGGGCATTTGAAAGTCAAAACACAGTTTTCATCTCCAGAAATCCATTTTTTCCCACTCATGGCCCAAAAAAAAGCAGCGGTGGATTTTCCTCACCCACATTACTCCCTGCTATAATAGCTTAATGAGACACACAGTGTAAATGGAACTCCATTTGCTGCTTTAGCTGCTTGAGAACCATTAAAAGACCCTTAAAAGCATCACTCATGTATTAAGTGAAAGAAAACTCATCATTAAATTAAGGGAAAACAACTCTTCCCACTCAGGAGTTTTTGGTAGTGCAAAATACACTAAATAATGAAAAGTGTTGTAGCAAAAATGGTTGCACTTTGTTGTAGCATATTTCTAAAGCACAGGGAGAGCTCTCTTAGAGATCTACAATGTACCCTCCTTTTCGTCACTGAAAAAAATGGCTTCAGATAAGGAATTAAAATTTCCTGAATCAAAAAGTACTCTAATTAATGATCTGGGCACCCTTGTAAATTCTGAGCTCAATACTGGAAAGATCTGTGCAGTCCTTTAATTCGGCTCTCGCTGCTTTTAAAGCTACATTTGGCAGTTTCCCTCACTCGAGGCTAGCTAATTAACACCCACAACACAACTCTCTTGACCAGGATTCCTTCAAATGCCTATCTCCAACCCACCCGACATCGGTTAGGATATTAACCTAGGCTGTTTTGAGTAATTCTGGGATATTTCCAACTTTATTTTTTAAAACATCTTAGCCAATGGCTGACCATTGCTTTTATGGCTTTCCTGTAAATGTCAAGTTCTACTGAAGTCAAGTTTGAAGGACACCCAGCAGTTTCTCAGAATGGGTTCTGGTAATACGATCAGCAGAATCGCCTGGTGTGTTAAAAACAAACAAACAAACAAACAAACAAACAAACAGATTCCTGGGTCCCCTCTCAAGCCTGCTAGGTCTAGTCTCTCTGCTGATAGGGCCTAGATTTCTATACTTTAAGGAAGAGGGCCAGAGTGGTTCTTCCACACCATTTGACGGCCAAGTTTCCAAGCATGGGGTTTCTCCCAAGTCTCTGAGAAAAACAGGAGAGGACAACAATTGAACCAGCAGCAGGAGGAAGCAGTCGGCCAGCACATGGAACACTGCAAGACAGCTGGGCCTGGTTTCTTCAAAGAGTCAACATCATATCCAACAACTGATAAATTACAAAATGCTCTTTATCCCTTCAAGGCCAATATTAGTCAGCCATCAGAAGGAATGAAGGAGTCCAGCACTGCATAGCACTGCTCTTGTCTGTTGGGCCTTGGAAACATTATGGTTAGTAAAAAAAAAAAGCCAGACACCAAAGACCACATGTTGTGTGATTCCATTTACGTGAAATGCCCTAAATAGGCAAATCTGTAGAGACAGGAAGTAGATTAGAGGTTGCCAGAAGACGTGGGGAGGGCGGGGGAGTGACTGCTAGCAGATCAATTTCATTTTGGAATGATGAAAATGTTCTGGAATTAGGTAATGGGGGATGATTGCCCAAGTCTATGATTATACTAAAACCCACTGAACTGTATACCTTAAAAGGGTGAATTTTATGGCCTCTGAATTGTATGTCAAACACTATTAATAGAAAAGTTGAAGTTGATAAAGTTAATTCCCATATCAGGACTCAACAGAATGGAGGCCTCCCCAGTAGCCTGGCCCTCATCACAAATCAAAACCTGGGTCAACCTATACATGCAGGAAGCACCTTTCAAAGAAACCTTACCCCAATATACACCCAACCTACACCCAACAAACACCCACTGCTTGACAGGCATTGTACTCCTCCAGTCCGTAGGCGTTTTTCCCTTGAATAGGGGACATCAATCTTTTTACTCAATTGTTTGTGTTTAGTCATTTGACAAAGGTGTTGGGGAAAAAAAAAAAGGATATTTTTTTTCTTGACTAAAGAGGCTTAAAGGAAATGGGAAATATAACCAAATACAGCGAGTAGACCTTGTTTGGATCTTGATCCAACAATTTTAGACAATGAGATAATTTGAATATGGATTGGAAATATTGTTCCTTTCCTTAGCAATCATACTGGCATTATTAGGTATGATTATACCGTTTCTTTTGAGATGAATACTGAGATACTTAGGGGTGAAATAACATGATATCTTGGGTTTTCTTTAAAATGATTTGACAAAATATTCTGCAAAATGCGTGGTTTTGGTTGATAGTTGTGGGCTGAAAAATAAATACACAGGGATATATTGAATTTTATCTTTGTGCATAGTTGGATATTTTCATGATAAAAGTTAAGAATAAAGGAACTCCAAAATTATCTTCATTTGTTTTGATTTCAAAAATTTCAGTTCAGTTTGTATGCTTAAATACTCCAAGGGTTAGGATGAAATTGAAGGGCAAATATTAGAGGTAGGTCTTTAGTTTTGAGCTTTTCAGCAGGAAAAGGCCAGAGGGAGAATTTTGAATAGTTCCTTGAATTCAGAGAAATGAAATGGACAAAACAGAAAGGCCCTGGGCTCAAAGTTCCTTGGTCATTTTATAAAAGAAAAACCCTATTGAAAGTCTGTCCTCAAAAGCCTTTTGAAGTTCTAAGAGGATGAAATTATTGTTAACTAAATATATAGCTGATACATCAAGCAAGAAATTAACTCCACATCAAAATATATTTGTGTCTAATATCCTGGGCTCAACATTTTGTTGTGTAGCACTTCCTATGGGAATCTATTGCTTCAGAATTGAATTTTACTCTTATAATCTTACTAGAGATATTTACTTGCCTTAAAGATCTGTGACTGTATACACACACACACACACATATAACTTAATATTATATATATGTCATATAATATTGTTATATACATATAACTTCATGCTGAATCTTTGACCAGGGAATTCATCCAAATTATCCCATCTCTCTTATGGGATCCTGCCATCTGTCTTCAGACACTGATTTCAGTATGACCTGGGAGGGTGACCTATCTGCTTCAAAATCAGAATCCCACATTCTTCTCCAGTGTCACCTGGCCTGACCGAGAACCCTCTTGCCACAGGATAATTAGGATTTGAGAAAAACATTGACTAGGAAACATTCTACCTGGACATCAAAAATCTTGGCCACGTAAACGTTTGAGAGATTCTTTTCAGGATATTGATGCTGATTTTTTCCAGGAGATTGGTTGCAGTGCCCTCTCTATGAAGATCCGTGGAGGAATTTCTTTGAGGAATATGTGTGCTTCTCTTGAGCGTCTGATTGGTTTCTATTTTCTGATTTTTGCGTCAACTGCCAGGCAGCTCAGGGCAGGACTTTTGGCCTTCTTCCAGCAAGTGTATAGAGCCTCCTGGACAATATTTTGTGTACTAGCCCCCATGTTTCAATTTCTTTACTGTTTTCTTAAAACTCATTGCAATGCATTCTTATAGACTACAGTTAATTCCTCTTTGGACTAAAATGGGGGCATAAACAATAAACAAACAAATTATAAATAAGCAAATACAAAAACAAATACAAAAAGTATTACAAATACGTTACGAATTGCTTTTAAGTACTTGGTTAAGAGTTTCCCTTTTCACAGGTACTGCTTCCTTCTTCTGTGCGTGGGTGTCTGGCTCCGTCCTGGACATTTGTCACCTGTCAGCGAGCTGGGTTTACTACAAAACGTGAGGAAAGGAAAGAGGGCAAGATTCAGAGAGCTTTGGTGCATCATTGAGGGATGATTTTCCAGCTACGTTGGGAAAAAAAAAAAAAAAAAAAAAAAGCAAC